TTGGAACCTGCATATTTACATAAACATGTTCACTTCATCTTTTTCTTTAAATTATAGCCAATTTTTTAATCTTGATAATCTGATAAGCAAAAATATTATTTCTCATTTGTATTTATAATTTTATTCATTTTTAACTTTTTATTGAGAATTGGGTGAAGGCTTATAAAGCAAATCAATTTTCCATTCAACAATTCATACACATTTGGTTTCAAGTCATTGACTGCAATCCCTACCATGTAACATCACTTACCCTATTTCCTCTCTGTGTGTTTCCTGTCCTAACCCCCTGAACGCTGAGCCCTGCCTTGCGGATCTCACCTGGGTGGCTGCTTCCAGGAGTGCGCACCTCCTGAGTACAACTGTTCCTCCTGGAGACTTTGTCTGTTGTTTGGTGAAAAACTGAGTCCAGTCCCAGACCTGAAGGGTAATTAAGGACAACTGTCTTGGGGGTTCCACCAATCGTTATCTGGTCTCTTTTACGATTTTGAGTTTTGTTCCACATTTTCTCATACTCTATCTAGGACCTTCTAATTCAGTGTTTCCCAGGGTGGGCAATACTGCCCCCTGGGGGGGCACTGGAATGATCCATGGGGGTTGCAAAAGCAGATAACTATACTTTATCTTACATTATTCGCTAAAGATTTTAGTTTTGGCAATGGGTGAGGGGGTGGCTTGCAAAGTATTATTTTTTCCTGAAAAGGAGTCTGTAGGCCAAATAAGTTTGGAACCTATGTGCTAATGTAACCCCTTTCAGTAGCAGTAACCAGGCACCATCTAGTTCAATTGGTATCAGGGTCAGGGAGGCTAAAGTCCCTGTCATTCATTAGTCCATTGGTTTATCTTTGACTTACTTGATTCTCTTTTGTTCTGGAGGGGAAGCGATCAATAGCTACCCACCTTAAATGGCCACTCACAAGATTTTAAAATCCTAGTTGCTATTCACCAAAGTCGTTTGTATGATGTCTTTGTGGACTGTAATATGCCAATGGACCTTGGTATCCCTCAAGACCAAGCAATTCAATGTGCTCGGGTAAGGCTAAACAAAATTTTCATGCCATGAAATTATAACTAATCTTGAAAATCTCAAAAAAGTAACTGGTTGCTGAATATGGCCCACTCCATAGATGGCCAGACTATCTACAATTCAAGTCCTGTTGAATATCTCTCCAACAACTAATAACCAAAAGTAGTCACGGCCATCCATTTCACACTGCAACTAAACTGGGCTTGAAGGGTTTCAGTGAAAGAGTGCACTGTCTTTTTGGTTTACTGTAAATTTTAGAAAATAATTCCTGTATTTTGCCTCCTTGTAATTTCCAGAGGCATAAATAACTAAGTAAATAAAATCTTATCTCTATTTCACAAGATAATCCTCCACAAGATTAATAAATATCACAATATTTATTAAACATAGTAGGTATACATTAAGGTTTATTTACATAATTAAGATATATTGGTTTGAATAGCCATCATAGTAATCATTACTACATTACACTTTTTACCCATTCATTTTTCTCCTATAAACATACATGCAATAAAATAAAGGGATGTTTAGTAGTGTCACTGAATGAAGTATCAAAAGCCCCTTCTATTAAAAAAGTAAAATTCATATATTAAAGGACCCCAAAACTTACCTAAAGATGTACTGTCTGTGGTTTGTTCAAGTTCTCTGAAAGCACTGTACTTGTCACCAGGCTCTATAATGCAAAAAGGGAGAAGCAGCTCAGTGTGTGAGGAAAGAACCTGGGGAGAACCACATAGGGAAGGAAGGCAGGTCAGCTAAGCAAGCACACCTGAAACGCAGTACAAGCCCTTGACACGTTTTACATAAAAGGCCACAAATAAAAAACAAAGACTCACACAACTTAATTAAATCTTACACTCACAGGTTTTACAGACTTACAAACTGTTTTTTTGTTTTTGTTTTACCTCCAAATGCAACAGTATTTTCAGAGGCCTTGTCAGCTGCAATTCCTTTAAATACAGCATATTTATCCATTGAGGACGACGTTTTAGTTCCCGTAAGTGGTATCAACAAAGAAGGGGCACTAAAAAGGGGAGAAAGAAACTTCTTAATGCCTAGAACATGAAATCCTTCTTTTAACATCAGATAGGGGATTAGAATTTAAATGGCAAATAGGTACCTAGCTTATGTAATGCATGGCTTTTTGCTGTAAAACTTAAAAATTAGATATACAACATCACAAATAAGTAAAACAACGCCCTCTTTCTTGGAGACAATTATATTAACATATATTAATATGATACAACACTACCCAAGCAATAATAATTTTAATTTAAAAAGGATCAGACCCACAGCAAATGTCTAACATATCTTTAGGTCATCATAACAAGGATTGAAATGGCTTTGGAAGAAGACAGAAGGATGACCTTCTGCAATCTGTTACTTCAGGTCCATAAAAGGGCCAAAATGAACTGCTCTAATCGGAAAAGGAAACTATATATTTAAAAGCAATTACGTTAACTTTAATATGCTCTTTAAAATAAGTTCAGAGTACAGAGGTGGAATAGTTAAGATAAAAATCTATTTATGAAATGTTGTTCAAGCCAAGATGGAAATTCTTCTTCTTTTGATCATATTGCACTGCTTACTGGCAGAAGTTCACACAGCTGATAAGCAGCAGCAAAATAAATACAATTTGCATTTTTACAAGGATCACATCAGCGATTCCTGGGGCTATCTTTGTAGCAAAACAACAATCACTTCAAAATTAGATAAAGATACTTTTGCCTGTGAACATATTTTTCACTGGACGGGAAAGAAGGGTAATGAGTAGTATCTGTGTGGGTAATTCTTGGAAGGCTTAAACACACACTATAAAAGCATTGCTTTCCCCCCTACTACCCCCTCTCTTTTTCTTATCAGACCTAGGCAGCTCCCTGGAAGAAAAATCTTTACATATGAATGACTACATTCCACCACTAGTTTGTGTCATTCAATACCACACATACAAGTTATATAAATGGATTTCTATTGAGTTCTTTGCCCAGGAGCAAAAAATCTTTCCATAGTCATTTAAATCTTCTTATCAGGGACCTACAAGCCAGGTAAAAACCTGGCTCTGGCACATGCATGCTAATGAGGTCCACAGGGTTTGAGGACTCAGTGCCATCAAATGTTAGCGAGTGGGAGGGATCATTTAATTTCACTCACTACCAAACAGCTGCAACATGTTACGAAGGCATATATCATGGCAATCCTCTATACAGTATATGTGCATTTTTTAAAGTTCCATAAATAACTAGAGAATGCTACACAGGGATCAGGGTAATTAATAGCTTAGAAAAAACCCACAAGACTGAATGAACTTTTTGCTTTCCATGGCCCTCTAACTTTAGTTATAGTCAAGTAAAATCTTTTGAAATCTGACATTAAAGGAATACTATCAATTCCAAAACATTATTATAGAAGTGGGGCGGGGGGAATAGAACATCTTCAGGGTAATGAAGTACCACTGATTGACATCAACAAATAAAATTCCATTTTTAATAAAGCTATGACTCAGACTGTAATTTTATGCATATTGTCAATGAATAATTCATTCTAGTTCTTTCTCTGAAGTGCTTATTAAAGAAACTCTTGTAATCACCATGAAAATGTTTATATCAGTCATATATCAGAGTCATTTTCTGTTCCAAACAAGAAAACGGTTATTTCTACTCCTTAAAAATAAAGTAAGGTATGCCCATTCTACATTCTATGGAAAAGTCAAAAGGAATCAAAAGAAGAATTCATATCAACCTCCCATCAAATCGATTCAGACTCATAGCTACCCATAGAGTCTACAGGGTTTCTGAGACGGTACATCTTTACAAGGACAGTCTGTCTCTTTCTCCCATGGAATGGCTGGTGGGTTTGAACAACCTTGTTTGTGGTTAACAGCCCAACACAACGGGGGCTCCTTAGGAAAGGTACATAGTTACCCAAAACAATTACCAGTATGCTTTTTCCTGCTAGTGAATCCATTTATGTTTTATAATCACTCTGCCTGGCTGTGGAGATCCTTTAATTGTCTGTCCAGTTAGATTTTAAAAGGAATACTTAGAAAGCCCTATACCTCAACTCTTCTTGAACTTGTCTATCATCAATGCCCATGTCTGTTGCATTTATTATTGTAGGCTCCCCAGCAGCTGGCAGTCGGAAGCATTTTCTGAGTGAATAAATGAATGCTATCGCTGTCTGCCAGTCTTTCTTTTTCGTGCCTTTGGATTTAGGCTCATTGCTCTTTCTCCTTTGACTTCAACGACCAGTCTAAAACCGAGTCCAACAAATTTCTCAGCGGCATACTTGTCAGCCTTGATAAACCCAAGGACTTCTTATTTCACACAGGATCTTCACGTACAATATATCAAGAATCACCTCCATCATGTCACTTCTGATTTCCAGAAAGCTTTACAGACCAAGTCACGAATCTGTAACTAATGTTAACTGCCATCATTTTCTTAGACTATCAACGCTCTAAACTCTAGCTTACTTCTAACACCTGTACTCTTTCAGGGCCTCTGCGGGGAAATGCCCACTGGAAGTGGGGTCATCAAGGCTTGGCTATTCGTATTATGAGCGAAAAAAATCTCTTTAAAAGATTAACTCACAATGTAGAACACTGATGATCATAAACTAGGAAATTCATCACATATACATGTAGTTTCTAATTGAAGAGAGCTGCTATGGGCTAATATAAATATTTACAGACTGAATAAATGACAAGTTATTCATGAATAAATGACAACAATGACTATCAGTCATCAGCAAAATATTTACATCCCAGGAAAGCATAGAAACAAGTCAATTCAGAACTGTAAAAGGAACACCTGCAAAAATAAGCTATTATGGTGAGAATTATAATATACATATAATTACTAATACTCCATATATCTCAGGTCTGGCTACTATCATAAAAACTTTCTATCCCAAAACTTTAATTTGAATTACTGTAAGCTTCCGCCCATCCCTAGAGGAATGAATTTAGTAAGTCAGTTGATAGCCCATATTCTACACTCATACAATAAATCTTAGTTAATTATATATCCTACACTAAACCCTATGAATATGACACAATAGATTCTGGTATTTATAACCTAGTAAGGGCATCTGTTTGTCGCCCTGGTGGCACAGAGTATACACATTGGGCTGCTAACTGCAAGGTCAGCAGTTTGAAACCACCAGCTGCTGAAAAAGAGGAGGTTTTCTACTCTCGTAAAGAGTTAGTCTCAGAAACTCACAGGGCAGTTCTACCCTGTCCTATAGGGTTGGTATGAGTCAGAATCAACTCCACAGTATTAGTACAGGGAAGACAGCCTAGTAAATGAGTAACTACAATATAATCAAACTCAAAAAAATGCAAACCCACTGCCATCGAGTCGATGCCAACTCACAGCGACCCTATCAAACAGTAGACCGAACCTTGTGGGTTTCCGAGACGAGATTGTAAATCACGGGAGTAGAAAATCTATT